CTGGGACACACAATCGTTGGGACCTCAAAATGGCAAAGTCGATTAGACAGGATTCTAAGAATTTCCCATTTGAAAATACAGAAAATGAGCAACTGAGTAATTAAGGGACATGTTGTTTAAAGGTCCCTGCCAAACTTTCTCTCTGAGTTTAACTGTGGTTCCCACAGCAATCTGATGCTAGAGATGTCCAGAATACACATGTAAATACTCAACTGATGGTGCAATTATGGGAGATAGCTGACCATCTGTCATTTGGGGAAACAACTGCTTAATGGCATCCTTAACTGAGTAGTTTCAGATGTGTTCCATACATTCAAAAGGGAAGGCCACTCAGAGCTATAACCAGGGGCTTCATTACCACATTATTAAATCTTACAACAATCAAGATGAGACCTGTAAGTCAGCAACTTTCCCTCAGATTGCCCATCCTAGTAGGACAGAGAGTAACAGAGTGAGAAAGACAATGAGAGCAAGCCAAGTTCTTCTTCCCCAAGGGCCCGAGCCAGGATTCTGGAGTAGACAGCTTTAACCAGGCTCACTTACTAGAAGAGAAGTAGCCTCAAGGCATTGGCTGGGGAAGGAGAGAAGGAGGACAGCTGGCTTCCCATGTCCTCAGGCCTGACATAATACTTGTCCAATACATGTAAAGTTCAGTCATATCCTCCAGAGCAACTGGCCTTACTTATTAACAATGAACCACACTGATTTAAATGTGGCATTTGCTGGATCTACCTACAGAGCAGCCTGGGAGCATGTGATATTTTATTTACTATTTTTTTATATTTATAGAACTGTACATATTTATTGAACAAAATTCCATGTTGTTCAAGGATAAACTGTATTTCCAAATTCACCCTCCAGATAGTCTTGGGAATGTGCCATGTGAGGCTGGGAGGGAGAAGCCACTGGCTGGCTGCAGGCCATGAGTGGTGGGCATGATGGCTCTCCTCAGTTTTACACTTTGGGACCAAAGAGCTCACTAACACCTGGTGACCCGGAGCACAGGTCAGAGCAGTGTTAGCCTGCTTAAAATGATGGCAAAGCCCAATATTTGGTGCAAGTAATCTCTTCTTTCCTTTTATGGTTATGAAAACAATTGTGGAAGGGCATTTGCTCATGTCTCTTAGCACCATTATCAAACTTACCTGTTGGTCAGAAAGTTGCTGCCTATCCAGAGTGACAATTAAGAGAATTCAGAATTCAGAAGTGTCAGAGCTGGGAAGACCTTTGGCAAGCAAGTAGGCCCACCCTCATTTATTTTGCAGATGAAGATGTAGAGGTAGGAAGAGAACAGGCTTATCTGAGGTCATATAGACAGGGGAATGACCAAAACTAGAATACAGATCTCCTGGGGCAGGAGACCACCTGCTGCCAGTTGCTGTTTAATACAAAATACACATAGATGGCCCCTTTAAGTAAATGGTATATGTGATGGATCCTTGACAGAGTCAACACACGTCACTTCTGCCCCCTCCCACTTCCAAACATGTCCTGAGGAGCCCAGAAACACACCTCAATTCTAATTAATATTTGGCAAATGGAATTTCCTGTACCTATGTTGTCCTAAATATTTCCTAAAGCTAATGGCAATGGAAATATGCGTAAGTTAATTATGGCTGTAGGTGTCAGAATCTTGTAGCAGGCAAAACTATAAAAATTGAGAACAACCTTTACTCGGTAGAAATATAAAACTCCTCTGGGAACATATCTGAAGGAAGAGTGTTTCTATAACACTGAGTTAAAAATCTAAATTACATTATTCAAAGCTATACAAATGTGCATTAATAAATAACATATAAAATAAAACAGTACTTTATGAGGAAGGCTCATCCTATATTTCAAGCATTTTCCCACTCTTAAACTCATTATTTAATATGGACACTTTTAGCCACAAAATTTCTAGAGTTTATTCAATATATTTTATGTGATTTACAAGGTCATTAAAGAATTTATTTGCTCTTTCCCTTACAGATTGGAAGGTGGGCAGTGATATATGAGGTTTCACATTTTATTTATTCACCAAACTGTTCCAGATGTGATCCCATCATTTATCCACTGACACATCAAACCTGCTGGGTGCCCTCCACACTGACCTCCTCCCCATGTTCCCTTTCATGCTCTTCAAGTTATAGCAGGCCTCACTTCGATGAGAAGACAAGAGAATTGCTATTTGGGGAGAGGTGGTGGTGGGAGGGAGGCAATCAAACTTCAGTAATAAAAAATTTAATTGCTCTGCTACAATTTGAAAATGATATCCAGGTGGAAAAGTAACCCAGTACCATTCCCCAATACATTGCTTCCCACTTGCCCTCCAAACAGGGTTTCATGCCTCAGATTTGGAATGCACAGGATCTGAATAAATGGAACTGAGCAGGTACTAAATCATTTCCTCCTTCTCCTAGTGATTTGTCACCATAATAAGCATTCTAAGGGTGATAGAACTTTTATTACTACACACTGTTAAGCAGGAAGGAGACTGCAATGTATTCCTGGTGCTCTTTAGGGAAAATAACCCATGCAGGCATTTTTAAAATATATCAGTTTAACAGAGAGTTATATTTAAAATCAAGTACTTATTTAGTGCAAAATATGAAACATTGTTATGTTTGTTTTGGAGAGGATAATGGTGGCTTATTCTATGACACCACAGTCCCTGAGATGCAGTTCATACTTTCTCAACCACCTCCCAATCTATTTTTTGCTATGGGCAAAGAGAGGAAGAAGGGCTCTCATTTGAGAAGCCCCTCTATAATGCCAGTTCTGCACATACTACATTTAAATATTGATATTATCATCTAATATTTAAAGAGCATATCATAATTTGCCAAATAATGTCATATGTACTATCCCATTTGATCACAACAGCCCTGTGAGGGTTTCAGGGCTGATGTTATTGGCCCCATTTTCCAGAGTAGGAAACTGAGAATCAGAGAGACTGATATGAGAATGCAAAAAGTATATATAGAACCTGCAGTGCAGCTGTGGTTTCCAAATTTAAGGGGGAAAGAGCATATTGCACAGAACATACTTATACTAAAATATATTCATTGTTTATTTGAAATTCAAAGTTAACTGTGTATCCTATATTTTATCTGACAACCTTAAGTATGGTGAGACGCCAAAATGGGAAGTCCTAATCCCTTACTAACCCCACCAAAAAATAAATGTATGGGTTAGTTTAAAAAGTGTGGGTGATTTTGTCACCTTCCCATGGCGAGTAAATGGCAGAGTTGGAAATATAGGTCATTTTTGTGACTTCTTAACTGAATGATTTTAAACCCTTCTTTGCTTCCCTGGCCTTTTACCTGGAACCAGAGGCAGCACACTCAGTCCAACTGAGCTGGAAAACTTCTCTCAGGTCTTTGAGGTCCTTAGGCACAGGGGAATGCAATGATCCAAAGACCACCTTTGACTGGTATCTCCCACACTTAACCCCATAGAGCGTCATCTGACTGCAACTAACCCCAAAGCCACAGTACCAAATGAATGGTTTTCTTAAAGTAGGCATAAGAAAATATGATGCATCACTTATAAGAAATATACATCAAAGCAATGCAATATCATTTTCTGCTTAGAAGATCAACAAAACACAAAGCTATATTATACTGTGTGCTGATGAAGATGAGAGAAATAGGCATCTCATATAGTGTTGGTGAGAGTGTAAATAGATGCCATCTTTCAAGGGATCAATTTTGCACTATCCACAGCAATTTAAAACTCACATGGCCTTTGACCCATCAATTTCACATTGCTGGAAATTAACTTGGCCATAATACCACCCAAGCAGAAGCTTACACAGTTCAGCCCTATTCAGTGGCCCTAAGGCCTAACTGAGCAAATTCAACACAAGTTTGCTCATACCAAGAATTAGAGCACCCAGCATTAGCACCAGGCACTGAGCCCAGTTCTCCACTCACGTTTGTCATTTAACCCCATAAAGTCAATATTGGTACTAACCCTATTATATTCATATGAAAACTAGGCTTGAAGAGATTTAGTTACTCACTTTGGACCATAGAGTTAGTAAGTGGAGGAGCAGGAATTTTAATCTAAATCAGGTTTACTCTAAAGTTCTGTGTCTTTTCACCCTTTTCCACACTGCCATTCAGAGAGAGAGCAAAAAGGGAGCCATGACAGACTCCCACAAGAAAGCAGGAAATACATGTCTGTCTCCCTGGTTGAACTGTGGTATTTTCTACCATGGTTCAGCTGCTCAAACTTCTGGAAATAGTCATTATCGGGAAGAGGAAATCTATACAGAATCTAGGGTCCCCAGTGAACCTCCTCGGGTAAAGACTATAAATGAATGTATGCATCAGTAAAAGTAGCTTTCTGCTCATCAACGGAATTCATTTATTTGGTTTCAATCAAAATGTATAACAATCTTCTTAATTTTTTTTGTGTAGTCAAGTCATTCCATCAAAAGCAAATGACAACTGGATGGTATAAATTGTAAGTTTGGAAGTATCACATGGGGGACACGAAGAAATTGAAACATTTCTTTTTATTTTAATATGTCTTTATTGATTTCAGAGAGAGGAAGGGAGAGGGAGAGAGAGAGATAGAAACATCAATGATGAGAGAGTCATTGATTGGCTGCCTCCTGCACATCCCCAACTAGGGATTGAGCCCACAACCTGGGCATGTGCCCTGACTGGGAATCAAAATGTGATCTCCTGGAGCCTAGGTTGGTGCTCAACCACTGAGCCATGCCCGGCTTAGTGAATTGAAACATTTAAACTCTCCTCCCAAGCAAAAAAAAAAGAATAGTTATTAAGTACCTACAGTATGTAAGGAGGACAGTGTGGTAGGCTTATGCCCCTATGAAACTGTCATAATCTTGCTCTGCCCTCAGAGATTAGAGACGAGTCTTAAACGGCATATCAAAGCACGGGAATAATAATGCCTGTCTTATACCTCACAGGGCCATCACTGTTACAAGTAGAATTAATAGAGGTTGACAAAGAGTGTTGACAAAAGTAAAACCATAGCATAAATACCTGGTGCTGTAGTAATTAGGCTGGTACTGAAGAGGACATTAAGGTATGTCTCAGTTCTGCATGGGTTGGACTCATGCCTTCGGAAAAGTCACTTCTTCACCTCCAGGGCTTCCTGAGTGGGGGGAGAACAAAAGGGCCTAGTTTGGCTACTATTCAGTTGCAAATATGTGCCCTGTAAAAATGGTGATTTCAGCCTTGAACTACTGCTTCCTCAGAAAAATTTTCCTTAGAGCTAATAAAATGCCATGGTCACAGAAGATGTCATTTATAAGTGGTGGGTGGCTCATGTATGAAAATTGCCTATGCTTCCCTGAAGACTAGTGTGTCATATGTTACCTGCTCCTACTCATATGGTCTCCCTCTTACCAAAGTGCCCACAGAGAGCACCTTGTCGGATGACTAACTCTATAATTTCCTTTTCATGTTATAATTAGGGCATAATTGACATACAATGGACTGTATTTATTTGAACTATACTCTTATTTTGGAATATATAAAATGCTTTAAATGTTGCAAGAACTTCATATTATGTCTGCTTCACCTGTTGAGCCACCTTTCTATGTACATTTCTTCATCACAGATTTATATTTTTTCATGAGTAGCTTGCTCAGGGATACTTTGATCTTTGTAGTTGTCTACTTTGTATTTAGCTTTTCACTCTGATTGAGTAAAAGAGAAGCATTTTTGCATATATTTTTCTTCATCAGTTTACAGATGTTTATGTTTTTTGTCATCTCTATAATAATATTTTAATCTTTTAACATCCACACTGTGTCATCTACCATTAAAAACTGTAACTGTTGTTCAACCACAAATTGAATTTCCTGAATTTAGTAGGTCTTCTTTAGGAAATAATTTAAGTACACACTGAAGAATATAAGAATTTAGTTCTGACAGTTTAAATTTTTGTTCTATGAATAATAAAATATTTCTGAGTTCACTCCAGAGCTATTCAGCCAGGCTGTCAAGAGGTTGCTGGGGCCTATGTCCATCTCAGGGCTGTTGTGAGAATTACATGCAGCCATGAAGGGCAGTCTTTGTGGTCTGGACAGAGCTGTCCACATTTGGACAATCATTTTTACCTATGTCACTCCTACTATCAGCAAGAAGAACCAAACTTTCAACTTCAAAAGACCAAGATGGTGGCTTCATAGAATGGGGTATGCCCCTCTCAGATCACAGATGCTGAGTTCTGCAAAGTTTTCTCTTGCACAGAGTCATTGACTTTTGATGTGTTTGATAACTCACCAATCCATATGAATATGATCCAGCTTCTTTTGCCCTGTAGCCACTTGTGGTACACTCCCTTCTCACTTGAAGCAGGAAAATGGCAATTCAATGGCTCAAAAGCACACTGATTTAGACAGCGGATAAGTTGATACTCTCATTTTGTCCAGTGATGAAATACATGTTTAGCAACTGACACTCCAGAACACAGACAAAATGATTCTCTAAGGAAAAATAGGACCTGGGTAAACCTGAGTATAAGTGATTGACAACATAGCCAGAGGCCTGAAAGCCCCTTGTAATGCTAGCCAATTTCTCTTACCTTCAAGAAGCCCCTTCATTGTCAGTTTTGTTGTCCAAAGACAGGCTACTTCAACACCCAGTTGAGAAGCAATGGTGGCCCTGACATGGCCAGCCAGCTGTAGGGACAAACAAGACAGGATCAATATGAGAGATATGTTGATGACAGCAGTACAAATCCTCAGCTGCCTGTCTGTACTGTCAAAATTTAAATAGATCTGAGCATGGAGCATTTGTTCTTAACTCATTTTGTGGCAAAACTGACTTGAACTGGGGGTGGGAGGAGATTTATAGTCTTTATTTATTCTACACAATGTGAATATTCATACATTTCATTGCAGAAAAATTATTTGATTATGGGTGCTGCACTATTTTATGTAATATATGATATATGCAATATATTATATTTTTAAAATTTGAAATTTTTAAAACTCTTAACCACACCTAGCTCCACAGGTTTCAGGTAAGAGATGGTAGATGTGTATAGCATAGTGGTTAAAAAGGTGGTCTTAGAAGCCTGATTCTAATCTCAGCTACATCACCTAATAGCTGTATGACCTTTGGTATGTTACTTTACTTCTCTAAGACATAATGAAAATAATGGCACTACTTCATTGGGGTGTTGTGAAAAGTGAGAAGGTAAACATAAAGTGCTTAGAAAGTGCTTGATGTTACAAAGAATGACCTAGGGACAACTAGCATAAACCTGGACTCCCCAGGAGGCCAGGTTACTATACCTTCAGAGTGATCAACCATTAACAAAGAGGTAAACTCTATAGGATCTGGTGACCCTGGATGCTGGAAGAGAGTGAAGGGAAGCATTTACTGGCCAAACTAAACATCACTGCCATCACTTGGGGCTACAATGTTTGAGACCAGAAAGGTTTTCTGGGATCTAGACTTGACTCTACTGTCAACTTATGTTGTGGCCTTGTACAAACCACTTGCCATCTCTTGGCTTTTGGAACAAGAAAGGGTAAATTAGATGATTTCTTAAGGCTGTCCAGCTTGAACACATTGACTTCAACAGGAACATACTACAGAAGAACAACTCTGAGGGTTTGAAAACCTCTGGCTTGCTAATTCCTAGGGGTTAAGGCAACACAGTCCTTGTTTTCATAACCCACAGCTATGTGCACTGTCAGACCAGAGTAGCAGATGGACAGACCCAAACCCTAGATGCTTGTAATTGATCAGGGCACATTATAATGAAGTAATTTTCTTGTCTTCATTCTCCATGTCAGCAGGGGTCAGCCTGCCACACAGGAAAGGTGATAGAGTAACCTGAGCTGCAGCTGAAAACCTGCTTTTTCTCTAGTTATCTACCCTGCCATGAGATGTGGCAGGCAGTGGGAAAGAGTCCAGACAAGCAGGGGGATTTGGCTGTTTTCAAAATATCATAAAGGAACTTTCAAAATTGAACTGATTTATGCTTTTTAATGTTTTCAGTAATGTGTAAATTAAGTTAGAGTTTGAATCTGAGCTAAAGTAAAACTTTTATGTTGTCAGCCATCCAAGGGCCATAGAAAAATTTCAGTGTACAGTAGTGTTCATTCTGCTGTACCAAGAGTTGCACTTTGCATAAATAATGGGTTCTGGGAAAGAATATCTAATTACCTGGAGAACTGAAAACTCTTCTGTGGATTATGAGCCTCTGGGTTGAGGCAAAAGCGTTGCCATTGCACACCTGGTTTACAAGCTCTGCCATGGCAAATTGACACAAGCCTCAATATTCTCAGTTGAGATATGGATAACCCAGGCCCAAAATCTGCCCCAAACCAGACTCTGAATTAGGAAATAAACCACATTCCCAGTGGGGACCTCTGTGGAAGATGATACCTCCCCTCATACAAAAAGTGCATTAAAGGCCAAGTTGTGTGACTCAAAGTAGTTAAGGCCATAGAATGTCCTTCACACACCCATTCTCTGAGCCAGTGACCCACTTTTTCCATAAGGTTTTTATCTTGCACTTTTTTGACCTCAGAGAATTTTATAATAGCTATGTTTGTGACAAACAAAACAAAAACATGAATACAACAAAACTAGTCACAGATAATATTGAAACAGAGTTAGGAAATACAAGTGTATCACAGATCTGAATGTTCCAGTTCATTTGCTAGTGTAGCACCCCACCTCCCATCTGTAAACAGCTATCAAGCCCTCCTGAAACCCAGAGATCCTAAGATGGTCATTAAAATCCATTCCATTTGTTATCAATCTGATTTGATGAGTATAACAAATATCTTTGGGGGCATCTTGTTTCTGCTTTGCAGAATCTTTAGCACAGCATTTGTTGGTCCTATGGGAAACTTCTAACTAATGGGAAACAGATCCTGTAGGATCTGTCTAGCTTATCAAAAGACAAGGAGAATTTGACATTTGGATTACTAAAAGGCTTCTCTAGAAGTTGACATTCTGGCTAGTTCTGAGGAGTACTACTAGATGTTCACACTTGAAATGCTGTAAGTGAAAACACACTTAGTGGAGCACAAATTACTACACAGTGTACAGATGTTACATGGAAGCTCTAAAATTGCACAAGTTACTCCAGTTATAATTTTATATCATAGCATTTAAGTTAGTTACAAGATGTAGAGGAGAATAGTAAACATCATTCAAGGACTTTCCCTCCTCTTCTGGATAAGGGGTTAGTGTGTTTTAGTTTGTACTAGAATAATTATATCATGTTAGATGGATTTATGACCTTGTTATTATCTTTATTTGGGGAATAAGCACAGTTTACAAAGAAGTGTATGGGTGCCAACTTGACAAGGGGTGGGTCATGATGGCTAATATTATGTGCCAACTTGACTGAGTCAGGAGGTACTCAGATATCTTCTTTTTTAAAAAATATTTTTTATTTATTTCAGAGAGAGGAAGGGAGAAGGAGAGAGAGATAGAAACATCAATAAAGAGAGAGTCATTGATTGGTATGTCCCCTGCTATGGACTGAGCCTGCAACTCAGGCATGTGCCCTGACCAGGAATCAAACCTCAATCACCTGGGTGTGTCTGGGTGTATCACTAAGCTGAAGAGATGTGTTCAATGCAGTATGAGCCAGGACATATGGAAATCAGAGAGAAGGTATTGACCACTGATGGAGCAGCCAGAGAAATGGGGTACTGGCAGTGGGAGTAGTACATCCAGAGTTGGGGTGGCAGATTAACAGCAATGTGCCTGGGAAGGATTAGAGTTTAGGTCACTGCCTCAAATATACCAGTGAGGCAGGTCTGGTAAGGTGAAGGCTGAATGGGCAGCCCTTGCCAACAAGTCTGTACCTGGAAGCCTAGATCCACCCAAACACTGGCAGATCCAGACCAGCTGAGACCCTGAGGCCCCAGCCACATGGCTGGTGGCCCATTTTTACACACCAAGATTCTAGTCACACAAGCAGCCCATCAGATGCTAGAATGATTACGAATGGTAATACAAGCCTGGCATAAATATAGAGCTTGTGCTTTTCAAAGCATTTCTTCATCAATTAATTAATTTTTGCCTTTACAGAAAATTTTAGGCAGGTAAGGCAGGTGTATCTTCACTTGTATAGAAAGAGAAGTTTCTTACCTATGGTTACCCAACCAGCCAAGGACAGAGAAAAGTGGTCTAGCCCTTAGTATTAGGTTTTTTCAGCAGCCTCATGCCCCTTTTAAGGACTGACTGGCACAAAATCACCCAGGTTTCCACTGGTGAATAGCTCATTTCCAAAAGGCCTCCAGATCCTGGACTGCTTAGGATCATGGCCCCTCACTTTCTAACATATCTGCAATTTGAAAACTGGATTCTGATGAGAAGTATCTGGAGTCTGATAAAGGCTAATTACAGTTAAGAAATATGAAAATTGGCAACTCGAAAGAAGATTGGCTTCTACTACTGCCTAGGCAGAATAATCAAGAAATTAGCAGAAAGTGATGGCAACTATAAAGAGGCACTAGAGGATAACTGAAGTATTCAAATGAAAGATATGTTGGAAAGTGGCCTATCCCTTGAGAATCCAGGCCATCTTCTTTGCTGTCAGGCCATTACACAACTGAAAAACTTCAACAAGGCAATGGAGGCTCTATAGAGGGGTTGTCTCATAAGCTATGTCTGGGACTCTGGTTGAGGGATGCTGGCTAATGGGGAAGGCTTCCTGCAAGATGCATGGGGGCTCTGGCTGGGCCACACACTTTTAGGGTTGCTCTGAAAAATTAAAGCAAATACAGAAAAGGTCAGTTAGAGAAATAAAGGGTCTGAACTCACAGCCTTTGAGGATGGTCAGGGCTTTAGCTAGTGAGGCTATGGCTCCAGGTGAGCACAGTCAATATTTTCATTAATTTTAGTAGTGATATCAAAAGAATAAGGGATTGGACATAGTCACTAGGCTCCCAAAGGAAGAGCTAAAACTACGTTGAAAGTACATTAGTATTTTAAGCCAAGTATTCTTGAGCTCCTTTCCCATACCACACCATGGACATACAGTTTTCATATATGATCTCATTTAATCCTCGGGACCATCCCATGAAGTAGGATCAGACCTGCCTCATGGTCAGTGCTTTTTCAATTATACCACACAGATCTTAATTCAATATAAGAAACACTCTCAACATTTAGAGATGTGCAAAAATGGAATCTATGCTTCATGAGGTAGTGGATTCTCTATCATTTGAGACGTTCAAACAAAGCTGAATAAAAATTGCCTGGTATTCAGACATTGGGTATGGGTTGGACCACACAATCTCTAATGCCCCTACCAACACTGAGCTGTTTGGACCCAGCACTTCAAAAGCACATGTGAAGTGGGTGGGGCACATGTTGTAAATAAATCTCTGATTGATCCACAGTAACTGGAAAGAGGAAAGATCAATGACCCACAAATCATTCTAAATCTTTTTAAGCCTCCTAATCCAGAGACTATTTACTACCCACTTCACAGAGTTTACTAATTTGATAGCAGTCTTCAATTTTCTTGCCCTTTAAGGTAGAAAAATATCCATAGAGGAAAAGAGGGACAGATGGTTCAGCCTGCATATGCAGTTTAGCATTGAGAACAATTATAAAAGGTCCAGGGGGAAAAAGTGAGATGACCCATCTTACCATAGGAACTACCAATATTTTTACCAATTGACC